AGACTCCCCTGCACTAAGACGTTTGGGATTTTCAGTATTAATCTGGGGACTGGAAGATAACCCGATGCCACCAGCTGCCCATTTTCCTTGTGGCTTCCCCGGAGGTTTGCAGAACACAGAGGTGTGCACCAGCTCTGCCGTCATTGGCCTTTCTTGTTTCAGGGTCAAAGCTGCGAAACCTGTGGGATCAGGATGCACTTACCCTGCGTGGCCAAGTACTTCCAGTCAAACGCTGAACCGCGCTGCCCCCACTGCAACGACTACTGGCCCCACGAGATCCCAGGTGCGTGGGCCCTGAGGTGCTCATGGGAAGGGCTGGGCCAGCAGGATGCAGGGCCTGGTGCTGGAGAAGCCCGTGGAGGCAGGGCCCTGAAAGGCTCCAGGGTATGTGGGGGTCCGCATTAGCAGCCTGAATCCTAGAAGCAGCCACCGCAGGAAGTAAAGGCTGAGCTGCGTGCACCGTTCCAGAGGACTTTCTAGAACCCAGCAGAAATTCCAACGCTTATGAGCATTTTGTCTAGACAAGGCTCCCTCTCTGGCAGCCCTCTCAGGAGGGGGATGTGACAGCCATGTCCACAGCTCCCTCAGTTTGTTCCTCTCTGAATTGGGGCTAACTCTGCTGCTGGGGAGGGTTGGCAGTGAAGAAGTGTAGACCTAGGACAGAGTCCTTGGCACAGGAGACGTAGCCGCTGGCTCGAGCTGGTGCTCCTGTGCTGCCAGCCCCTCCGTTCACTGTCTTTCCTGCCTTTTCTGTCTACAGAAGTCTTCGACCCTGAGAAGGAGAGGGAGTCTGGTATCTCAAAATCGAACAAAAAGTCCCTGCGGTCCAGGCAGCATTAGCCGTCGTGCTCTGCTGAGGGACTGGCTGCCTTGGGTGGCCTGATCGCCGCAGCCCTTCTTGGAAGAGAGGCGTCCGTGTTTCAGGTTCCATGCGAGTCACCTCTTTCTTCTTAATGTGGACTGTCCACAGCTTTGGAATAAACTGTCCTGGGAAGTTGCTGCAGCCCCTGTCTGTGTTCTCGAGCCTGTGTGTGAGGCTCTGTGTCGTGACCTTGCCTTCTTTCCTGGAGTTCGGTCATCACTCAGAACCCCTGGGTTTGGGCTCCAGCAGGTGAAACCAGCAGAGCCCCCAGCAACGGCTCAGGACAGCTCACTGTCCTTGCTCAGGGCAGCCTTGCCTCCAGTCCCAGCTGTGACCAGCTGTCCCAGCAGGATTGGGCTGGCCCACACCTGGATGTGTGAACCTTGGCCTCCCCAACTCCCCAGTCTGGACTCTCCCCTGGCCCAAGGTGCCACTGGCCTGAATGGGCTGAGGCTGGGCATTTGGGCGGGACACGTGCTCTCCCTCCCTGGACCCTCTGCTCCCTGTGGGTGCCCGGCAGCCCCGCCATCCAGCAGCCCCAACTGGGACCGGGAGTCAGCCTCAATGCTTCCTCTCCCTGACCCTCCTGCATCCCACTGTCACCAGATCCTGTCCAGCCCAGCTGCCAGTAGCCCTCCGGCCCTGCCGCTGCTGCCTCAGGCTGAGCGCCAGCCCCGGCCCACACCCTGCCTCCATGCTCCCTGTGGAAGACCCCTGGACGCCCCCACTGCTGCAGCAGGGCTGTGGCCCCTGGTGAGGCCCCTGCTCATCCGTCACCGCCTCCCCCCACCCACTGCTCAGGGTGCAGTGCTTCCTTCGTCAGCTCGGGAGCCTCTGCACAGGGCGCCCTGGGCCTGCGCACCCTCCCCTCTGGTGTCCGGCTTTGTTTCCTGGCTAGCACCCGGTCGCCCTTTGGCACTGGTCAGCCCCTCGCTCCCTGCGCTTCCTCCCTCCTCACACTTGTTAAGTCCCCATCTTCATGCGTCTCTTGAACCCCAGCATCAGTCAGGATGCTTCAGTCATGACAGAAAAGCCAACTCAGACTGGCTGAAACAAGGAAGGACTTGGCCACAGGGGACTTGAGAGGCCTGGTCTAGGGGCTCCAGCGAGGTCACCACACAGCCATATTTCTGTGTCTACTGCGCGTTCACTGGGCTGGCTGCATGCTTGGGGCCTACGAGGTGGTTTCCCAGAAATCCAGCTTTCTTCATGGTAGCGAAATAGCTGTCACGCTCTGGGCCTCACACATCATGCCCGGGATGGGGAGGAAGAGGGTGGCTCTCACTTGGTGGCTCCCACACCCTTGCAAGCATCCTCATGGCCCATAGCTCCCACGTGGACACCTGCGAGGTGGGGACAGGATGATCCGACTGGCATTGGAAAATCACACCCACCCCGAAGACAGGGGTGGGGCCGTCCCTCTCAGGCCACGTGGCTGAGGGAGCAGGGGCCTTTCCCTAAGCAAATTGAAGGTGTGATTGCATCTTCAATAGCCTCAGAGGCAGCGGGCAGTGAACCTGGACACTGAATTGGTGGCTGACTTCCCCCGCTGCAGGCAGGAACATCCCCCTTTGTTCACCTCCATAAACCCAGGGTAGAGCAGGTATCCGAGGCTCAGTGAACCAATGACCCCTGCTGGTGGGAGGCTCACCCTCCCAGAACCAAGTCTGGGCTCCTGAGCCCTCAAGCCCACCTTCCCATCAGTGAGGCAGCCGGGGACCCAGCCCAGCCCTTCGTCAGTGGGCACAGACACGCCCATTGGTAAGCCCAGTGTGTTCAGCCAGTGCCAGCCCCAGCTGGCCTCACCAGAACAGGGGTTTTTTGGAAACGTATGAGGTGGCTTGCAGAAAGGACAGGAAGGCAAGACCAGTCTAGAATGGCAGACCTTGGAATAAGGGTCATGGATGTCAAGACAATTCTGTGACAGTGGGTGCTGCTGTCACAGGGGGTCAGCTCCAGCCTGTCTACGCTCCTCCCGACGTGCCCTCAAGATGCCAGTCCAGGGAGCAGCTGTACAGACCTTCCAGGACCGCGTCCCTGGGGCAGAGATCATTCTCCAGAGTGCAATCAGTGTGCCGTTCTGGAAGAAGGGAAGATGGACGCCAGGAGACAAAAAGCCAACCAGCAAATACCACCTTCAGGAGGGGCCAGGGCAGCTCATGACTGACCCCGTTGTCCCGTGGTTCTGGTCGTTCATTCTCTGTGCTCGAGTCAGTCCTGGCTGGGGACTCCGGAAGCCTCTGGGCACTTCACCATTGGGGACACCGGCCCCCCTGCTGCTCATCTCTCCTGCCTCCAACACCTCCATGATGACACTGATGTGAACATCCCACAACACACTGGCACTCACCCAAAACCCTTGTGAGTTCCAGACACTGGCCTGGCATTCAAAGCCTTTATTACCCCGCCAGCCTTCTCTTTCACTGCCATGCTTCCCCGCCGGTGCCCCGACCTTATCACTCAGGAATTACGGACTGGCCTGCTTCCCAGGGTCCCCTTGTAGGCCCTTGTCTGCACAGCAGCTGCAGACCTGTCCCTCCCAGGCTGAGCCCCCCAGCGCCTTCCCCTGCTGGTCCCCCAGGCCCCATGGCCTTGATATCCCCCTTCCTACCATCCCCCCTCTCTGCCCCAGCCGCCCTGACTCCTACCTCCCCCGTCCCCAGACTGGGGCTTTCCTGTCTCAGGGCTGCTGTACCTGCTGTCACCAGCTGGGCCTCAAGTCTCATGGCTGATTCTGGATTCCCAGTCAAGCTCTTGCTCTTCAAATGTCAACTATCAAAAAACTCTGACCCCACCAGTCCATCCCTGGCTGCCATTTTCCACCCTGTCACCCTGCTCTGTTGCTTTCATGGCACTAATCACGGCGTGACACTGTCTTCTTGTATTCCCATGTCCTTATTGCCCCCCCCGCACCCCAGCCTGACGCCATTATGTTAAAATACCATGAGGGCAGGGGCCTCATCTGGTCAGTGACAGGCCTGCTAGCTGTGTCCTGTGTCTGTGATGGCAGTATCAGTGTCCTGACTGCTGTGGCCACATCTCAGGCAGGGGCTCGTGCACGTGCCTCTCCTTGGTCTGTGACCAACTGTTCGGCGCTTGGGTTCCAAGCTGGCTTCAGAGTCCACCTTCCTCAGAGGGCTGAAGTCACCCTCAGACTGGGATTCCTAGGAACGCTGGAACCTCACCCACAGGGCAGGGCCATTTCCCCTTTTCCCGTTCCTCATCTGACAAGGGACATTTGCTGGAAGCCTCCTGGCCAGGATACCATACGTTAATGAACGTGGCCTCCCATGCCCAGCTTTCTGTCACACTACGCTACAGATGGGCCATGGGGCCTGCCAGCTGGAGCGGATGGAGCGGCTGGGCCACTGGGAGCTGAGGCCACAACCCGCCTGTCCTTCCGCTGGGGAAGGGGTGTGAGTTACACATGGGGGCCGGGAGCCACCGCTCCTCACTAATGGTGAACCTAGTCATGGAGCGTCCCTGTTTTATGCCTCCCTACTTTCAGGGGTGTTGACATCTGGTGTAAATTCTTCCTATGAAAGATTAGGTAATTGACTATTAACAATGGCAGGGAATAAACAATGTCCTTGCAAGCAGCTGCCCACGGAGCCAAGTGGACTCCACTTCCAGATAGCTGTTGTGTGTGTCAGTCCCTGGCACACGCACGGCCGCTCAGCAGCCCACTCCCAGGATGAGTAAGTGCCACGGCCTCTGCCTGCCAACAGCCAGCTTTCGAGAGTGCAGATGTTGCTGGTGTCTGCTCAAAGGCCGAGAACCCCAGGACCTACCCAATAAAGGTCAAATTCCTTGGCCTGGGTACAGAGGGCATCAGGAACTAGAGTCCCAGCTGCCCGTGGCCACCTTCCCATCCCCCTTCTAGTTACCCCAGGGTAGCTACCCCCTGGCCAACCAGAGGCGGCTTGATTTTTAGCTAGAAGCCAAACAGCTGAGCCAGTGGTCAAGGTGCTGGCAGGATGGCAGCTGAACCCCCGGGGCTCTTTTCCCCAGGCCTGTCTTGGAAGGGGGGAAGAAAGAAGCCAAGGCTGGCATGGTGGCTCATACCTGTAACCCCAGCACTTTGGTAGGCCAAGGTGAGAGGATCACTTAAGCCCAGGAGTTCAAGACCAGCATGGGCAACATAGCAAGATCCCATCTCTATTTAGTTTAAAAAACAAAAAACAGAGGGCTGGGGAAAGTCTTAATAGCCAAAACATAAAACAAACCTGCGTGCACACAAGACACAACTACAGAAAGCACGGAGCCTGGGTGTCCCCCTGGCCTCAAACCTTCCACCGGTTTGACAGTCATTACTTCTGGGGGATGGTGACTAGAAGGTGGCTAGAGGGAGGCTTCCAGGGGCTGGTGATAGTTCAGTGGTTTCTTCACTTGGGAGCCTGCTCCTGGATGAGTGCGGGTGAAAAGTCATCCAGCAAGACCTTTGCACTTCACTGCAGGCAGGTAGGCTATCCTTTAGCCACGAGGATGACAGAAAGCTCCCACTGCCCAGCAGGGGTCTGGGCTCCTGAGCAGGCCCCTATGGACTCTCTCCTGTGACCTGGGCAATGCCCAGCTCTGTCCAGTATTCAGGCTGTGGCGTCCAGCAGGCCCAGTTAAGGGAAGGAAGGGCAGAAGGATCAGAGTAATTGGGATCAGTGGCAGTGGCTAAGGTTCATGCAGCAGCAGGGGCTCGGCACTGCCTCCTCGGCCCTCTGCAGTGAGGACTGGCCTTGCCCTCTTTTCCACGTGGGCACAACGAAGCGGGGGATCCTGGCCAAGTCACGCAGCAGGTACGCAGCGCGGCCGGGTCTGAGTCCAGTAGCCAACCTCAGAGCCCACATTTCACCTCTGCCCGTGTGACCCACCCATTTCCCAAACACGTTAGGCTTTCTGATGCCAGAGTCCCCAAGCAGGCTGTCTGCCTGCAGGGTCCTTCTGGGCTCTCCCCACCTTCCTCTGTCATGCACCCCCGGCCTGGAGTGTGCTCCTTCCTGGGCAGCCCCCGCTCTGTGCCCGTCCAGTGCTGAAGCTCAGCCCCCCCGGGCTGCCACTGGGCAGTGAAGGCTCTTCAGGACACAGGTTCAGTCCTGCTTGTCTCTCTAGATTCCAGGACCCAGCACCAGGTGGGGCACAGAGCAGGAAATCAGTGAACAGATGAGTGCTGTCTGCATGTCCGGCCCTTTCAGCTCCTAGCCTGGCTACGACCACCAGAAGCTGACCGAGAAGCTCAAATCCAGAGCCCGCACGTAATGCCAGTATTTCACGGGTATGAACAGGATCTCTCCAGGAGACAGGATGCAGGACAGGAATGGGGCCTTGGCAAACTCGGGGAACTTCTCGAGGTCAGGATTCTCCACGTCGACCTGAAGAAAGCAAAGGACGTCATCATCTCTGGGGCAGTGGGGAGAACCTGCAACGTCACCCCGGACCCCCAGTGCCCACCTGGCTCGTGTTATGGAGAAGGTGCGTGTCATGAGGGTACAGAGCCCCCGACTCCTGTGGGGAATACAGCCGGATGTACTTCCTCCCCATCACCTGGGAAGAGAGACCCTGACCGTCAGCTGGTGGCCTCACTCCGCTGCTGCCCCACGCCCACCCTGGCCTCTGTCCCCTTCCGCATGCTGCTCCCTGGGCCCAGCCTGCCCTTCCCCTCCACACATGCTTACAGTTCCACGTGTATGTTTTTCTTGCTGTTTTAATTTTTAGAGACTGGGTCTCAGTCATCCAGGCTGGAGTGCCGTGGTGTGATCATGGCTCACTGCAGTCTCGACCTCCTCCCTCCAGAGATCCTCCTGCCCCAGCCTCCCCAGTAGTTGGGACTACAGGTGTGCCCCACCACACCCAGCTGATTTTTGTATTTTTATTTTTGGTAGAGATTGGGTTTCACTACGTTACCCAGGCTGGTCTTGAACTCCTGGCCTCAAGTGATCCTCCTGACTCAGCCTCCCAAAGTGCTGGGATTATAGGTGTGAACCACCAAACTTGGCCTAAAGGTATGTTTTTCTTCCAAATACATTTTGGAGCCCACCATTATTAGGCACTTGTCTGTGCCAGGCACCACTTAAGTGCTTTACGTGTGTTAACTAATTTAATCCTCTCTGAGGTGGTTTATCTTCACTCCCATTTTGCAGGTGAGGAAACTGAGGCACAGAGAGATTAAATGAGCTGCCCAAGCTCACAGAGCTGAGGTGTGGCAGGGCTGCTGTCCGCGCCAGGCAGGCTGGCTCCCGAAGCCTGGCTCTTAGCCCACTCCTGAGCCGCCTCTCTGGACTGGTCTGCCAGGGTAGGAGAATGTTCTCCTTTACTAACCTCTCTTTGCCTGTGAAAACCAAGGTGGTCTTACAGCAGTAGACAGAGGTGCCTCCCCTTGTAGCAAACCCATCTGCTCCTCTGCCTGGGTCTCAGGAAAAAACCTCCCAGTGACTGAGAAAACTCCCCCGACCTGCCGCCTCCTGTTTGGAAGAAGCTGGTCTGGATCGGATGAGTGGCAGGCGGGGGAGGGGCAGAGGCACCAGGCACCCGCGCCAGCACTCGCTCCCTCGCCCAAGGGCTCCCCTGTGAGGGATCTTGGGAGGGGCCCACGCAGGAGGACAGCCGCTTCTGGAAGCAGCCGACTGCAGAGGCCTTGCCGGGCCTGGCGCCGTCTGTGGGTTTGTTTTCTATTTTTGTCCTCATCCCCTTCAGTGCTTCTTGTTTCTTTTTAAGAGCCCAGTGTTCAAAGGCAGAGAATGTGGCCGGCCAGGTGCCTGGGCCAGGAGGAGATAGGAGGCCACTATTCCAGCAGTAGCTCCAACCTGGACTAGGAAGTTCTGCTGGGGATCCTGATGTAGGGGGGAGATGGTTCCCTGGGGACCAAACCAGGCATTGATGGTGATCTCCTCCTCCTCCCCATCGCCCAGGCTGCAGTAGTCGGGGATGCTGATGTCCTGCTTCAACTCCGGGATCTGTGGGCGGCAGAGCAGACATGAGAGGTGGGGACACCACAGCCCAGAGGCCAACGAAGAATCAGAGACACACACCTGTATCCATTATGTGTGTGTGTGTGTGTGTGTGTGTATGTGTGTGTGTGTGTGTTTGAGACAGGGTGTGGCTGTTTCTCAGGCTGGAGTGCTGTGGTGTGATCTCAGCTCACTGCAGCCTCTGCCTCCTGGGCTCAAGTGATCCTCCCACCTCAGCCTCCCTAGTAGCTGGGACTACAAGCATGCACCACGCCTGGCTAATTTTTT